GAAGGAAAGAAAGAAAGAAAGAAAGAAAGAAAGAAAGAAAGAAAGAAAGAAAGAAAGAAAGAAAGAAAGAAAGAAAGAAAGAAAGAAAGAAAATCAGTTCAATTTTCACTTGGTATGAAATCACTACAAGTAGCACCTGATTTTTAATATATCAATAAAAGGTTTCATTTGATATTTTAAATTATACCTTACTATTTCTATACTCAGAATAGGGACACAATAGAAAAAAGACACTTTACATTCCACAAATTCATTATCACTATTAAACAGTCATAAACATATAAAGAAAACTAATAATGCAATATTAAATATGTCTAAAACAAACACTATTGAACTTGAGCTGAACAAGGCTTATTCCCAAGGAATGTAATTAGGATCTCAAACTTTCATTGCTAGAAGATATGAAAAAAAGGATTTTGTTTCTAGGTAGAGTCAAAATTAACATCTACTTTAGATAAGCTATGATCAAGGATTAAAGTTCAAGAAATAGGATGAGATGTGCAACCAAACCACTAGTGGAATTCAGAAATGAGAGTTACGAAGAAATCTAGATGAAAGAGAAAATACAGGAATATATGACAAAAAGCCTATTGGTTAAAAATATTTGGAAACAGAGAAAGGCATCATTAAAACCAATTGAGAAATATGAAGCTCAAAATGATGCAGATGGAACTCTGGATTTATTTGATTTAAAGGTTCCCCAGGCATTCTTAAGGTAATCTAGGTTGAGGCAATTGACACATTAGACTATTACTATAGTTTTATTTATAAAGACACTATGTGCTTTTCAAAGAAAATTCAGATAGAAACCTTAAGTCCTTTTGCTCTGTTAATAGCCCTTAATGGTCTTAAGACTCTTAAAACTCTCAGAATCTTCACAACTGATATAGCACTTGATCTAGATGAAAAGTAAAACAAATAATACATTAGCTTGACATGACTTAATGCTACTCAATTAATGTGATAAAGTTAAGTAATACTCATGTATATAGCCCATTAATTCTACAATTTATTTTGTTTCCAGGAAAAAATACTGATGGTTTTTTTTGTTCTACATCTAATTGATACAAAATAATCTCTTGGAATGGATAACATCTTAGTAAGCCATTTCTTAATGCTTAATTCCTAAGTAAAATGAATAAAATAAGGTATATGGCAGCACACAATTGGTTCTATCCAGGTTTTTAATAGATACACATTTTCCCCCACCAAACTTAAAAAACGAAACAAAAAAATTCCTCAATTTTTGCTATTGTCATATTTATTTAGGTAATATGTATAGACAATAATAAAAATATTTGCATTTTTATTTCTTAGACTATATATTATAGATGACTTACAGTAATAATAAAAATCACAACAATACAGGTAGTCCTTGACTTAACAACAACTGTGCACAAAATTTTTGTTGCTAAGGGAAACCGTTGTTAAATGAAATTTGCCCAATGTTATTACCTTTCTTGCCACAGTTGTTAAGTAAATCATTGCAGTTGTTAATAATATGGTTGTTAAGTGAATCAGGCTTCCTCACTGATTTTGCTTGTCAGAAGGTCGTAAAAGGTACTTACATGACCCCAGGACATGGCAAGCATCATAAACATTAACCAGTTGCCAAGAATCTAAATTTTGATCAAGTGGCCACAGTGTTGCAAGTTTGAAAAACAGTCATAAGTGTTTTGAATGATCACTAAACAAACTGTTATAAGTTGAGTGTCTAATTTTGGTCTGTTCTTTTACAGTTGTAATCATCCCTATTATCTGTCTCTCAAAGGAGTTCCACAATATCCAGTACAATTGAATAAATGTGATCAAAATGGAAAACCTATATAGCAATGGTTTAACCAGCCTAAGCATCACATGTTAACATGGTATGATGATACAAAATACACAAAAGCTTAGTTAATCCCATCCTTACTCTCAAAATACCACAAATATATTTGCATTAGAATGGAGAATTGGGTGTCCTAGTATTATCCCAGTCAAAATCTGTCCCTACTGATCAGTTCTATCCTTACCATTATGAAGGAATACTGTGATATTCTTTATCTTATTAAAAATATTTTTGAAAGTCTGGCTTAATGAAACCCATTCTGGGTGGTAGAAATTAGGATCTAGTATCTATAGGCCCATCTATAGGCCCACACCAAGCACAATATTGTAATTTGAAATATCAAATGGGGAAAGAGTAAAGAATATAAATTAATGAATGATATGAAAGAAAAATATGTTGTCTGCTTGTGACACTAAGAATAGGGAATCATATAACTAACAGGACTTAATGAAAGTGATGAATACATGCAGGTGTAGGTTTGATTATAGAAAGGTAGGCTAAAACATTTGTCAAAAAATCTGGACTCATCTAGATTGTTATAATTTGTAAGTTATTGAAATAGAATTCTAGATATTGCAAAATACTTATGACTTCTTTTTCTTAAAATACAGAGAAAAGGAATATAATCTATTAGCTATCAAGGTTGATACAGGATGCTAAGCCCACAAGATATGACCATTTCCGTACAGTACGATGGAGAAATAGTACTGTTTATATTCAAGTCATAAATGAATACAGCAAAAAACAAAAAGAGCAATACTTACTGAATGCCAAATGACACAAGGGAAACACCCACTACCAACAAGTCTAGCAAGTTAAAATAATTTCTGCAGAAAGACCCTTTATGAAGGAAGGCTCCAAACACGGTCAGCTGAAAATATAATAGCTACAGTTTGAATCATTTATAGGTTCTTTACAAGATATCTACACAGGATGTATGTTGATTTCTATATCATTCAGAATGCAAAGAAAAGCGGTCTCTCTCTGTTAAGGCTAGAAATCTTGATCTAATACTACACCGCATCATTTTCAAACTTCACTCAATTACTAAATAAAATTAAATACCAACATGTCAAAAACAATCAGATATTCACTATCAACAGCTTTCATGCTTACATAATGCACCTGCTAAACATTTTAGTTTTAGATTTATACATAGAAGGGTTTCTTAGAACACAGTTACACAACTTGTATTTCACCCCAGAAAAAGTTATACTCTTAATAGAAGATAAAACTGAAAATGTATCGTGAATAATCACATCATAACTATTTTTTTTCTTTTGGTCCTATCCACTTTTTTTGTAGAGATACTGTAACTTTTGGCTGCAAAAAGGTTGTATACTTCTGTACTTAAAACAGTGCTTTGCAAGAACATAGTGATATACTCTTTTAGCTCTATGTAAATCTATTTCACAAAAAGTAATGAAAAATAACATGTTCCTCCTCTCCATCACAGAGAGTTATGTTTTCCTTCTTCTGACAGATTTTAATAACAAAATGGTTAAAATACACTGCCAAATTGATGTAATGATAAAAAGGAACCTTTGCACCCAAAGGTTTGAAAAGTATATTAAAACATTAATAAAAGATATCCTATCTGCATAAGTATATGGAAGGTAAACAAAAAGTAACAGACTTTATTGCTAAAGTTGTGTTTGAATTAACAAGGATCAATGAACAATTTAAATACCTTTAAAAGGATTTCCACAGTAAAGATGGCTGTGAAAGCATAGTCAAAATAACCAAGTATCTGCAAAGCGTAAGAGGTCACAGTGAGACATTGATTTACAAGCGTTCATGTTAGAATTTACAATTTTGGATATATATTTATATATACATTCTAGAAATAGTCTTCTTATGGGAGTTTTTCAACTTTCAAGCCTACTATATGCCTGAGATTTCCTTATGGTATCTAAGTTAGTGTCCAACTTCCAAAAGCCATTCAAAATCAAGGCTATGCAGCTTTTTAAAAAAAGATCAGCCACATTCACACACACAGAATCATGAGGAAAACTAGTTTTACCTCCTCGGATAAAAATTTATACAACTAGATATCTTCATGATTACTTGTAATAAAAATTATATAATTTCACATGGATGGAATTATTTTAATTTTTTCAATGTTGATTGAAAACACCTAATTGGACAATGTGATCTGTGACAAGGAGGGAGGGAGCTATCTATTCTTTAATTATATTGAAAGTGCAGGAAATTGCCAGAGCTGGCTTTGGTTTTTAGCTGTGACAAAATGATGTACTCAATAAAGCAGTTCTTTGAGAAAGCTAAAAGTCTCAGAATTGCTGGTTTGGTTGGGTTCATTCTTCAGAATCTTGAAATACAAAGTGTCAGTAAATCCAAATGCAATTTAAAACACACACAGACACACATATACACACATACACACACATACCAAGCAGGCATAGCTAATTCACAAATTATAGACAGGCTATATATTGGATTATATTTGTGCCATCTTACTGTGGGAGACTGAAGGAATATTAAATTAAATAATGTTAACCTACAGTTCTGGAAATTTCAACAGCTTGAAAACAATAACCAGGGCTACCCTGCACAACCTACAGGATCAACTAAGTTCAGCTAGACCAGGGGTGTCAAACTCGATTTCATTGAGGGCCACATCAAGGTTGTGTTTGACCTTAGGGGACCAGGGTGAGTGTGTCCAGCTTGATGTCACTCATGTTGGGGGCACCTGTGGTGGCCCGAGTGCTCTGCCAGCAAAAATGGGCTCCTGATCTCCGTTTCGGCTGCAACAGCCTCCTGCAACCATCTGCCAGCGAAAATGGAGCTCAAGAGGGCCGCACACAGCCTCCCGAGCTCCATTTTCATTGGCAGAAGCACTATGGGCCAGTCCTTCGCTGTTTGCAGAGAGGCCCCATGGGCCAGATCTAAGCCCCCTGCGGGCTTGATCCTGCCCCCAGGCCTTGAATTTGACATCCCTGAGCTAGATGATGCCATCTTTTGAGTTATTCATAGTCCGCTTTGAAAGACACAACTTAAGAAGATCATACATACAGATTGTTTGTAAAATCTATTTTTTCTTACATTATTTCGAAAAGAATGACTGCGAATAGGGTCTTCAGCTGCAAGGGAAGCACTGCTGAGCATGATGAAGACAAGAATGAGGTTGGTAAAAATATGGTGATTGATTAATCTATGACAACCCACTCGAATCCTGAAGAACAAGAAAAGAAAATGGAATATTATGTTACGACTGGCAGGTTAATTACTCCTAAATTATAAAGAAAGGCAAAAAATGCTCCTCTGAATATCACTAATGTGGAAATTGGTTACTTTATTAACTGTCTTGATAATTCAGCAAAACTATAAATGTAATAGAACACTGCATGTATTCTATTGTAAAGCTATTATATGTTGGATAATATTAAAGTACAATTTGCATCACTTCCATTTAAAGCATCCTCATTTGGCATATTTTAAACACAAATGTTTTACAATTCTGCTAGGACTTTGAAAACAAATTCCATTAAAATTCCGTTAAAAATATTTAATTATATGTTCAATTTTGTACTAGATAAATCAGCAGAAACTTTAGTTGTTATGTGTTATCTTTTTATTTGGGGAAAAAATATTTCAAGGGATATGCTTTAAAAGGTTATTTACGGGTTTGTAGTGCTGAAAATAAAGAAGGAGCTGCCTTCAGGAATTGGTGTCATCTTCTCCTTCATATTAAGTTCTGATATTCTTCGGGGTCGGGGACCTGCAGGTACTTCTGGCTCTTCTTCCTCTTCTTCCTCTTCACCTACTTTATAGTGAAACTTTATTTATTACAAAGTAAATTAAAACATAATTCTGAGAAAATTCCATTTTCAAAATAGCCAGCAAGATCTATATATTAAATGTATGTGTGTGTGTGTGTGGAACTTCTCAACAGTATACAGTATAATTTAAGAGCCGAAGTGGCGCAGTGGTTAAATGCAGCACTGCAGGCCACTTCATCTGACTGTTATCTGCAGTTCAGCGGTTCAAATCTCACAGGCTCAAAGGTTGACTCAGCCTTCCATCCTTCCGAGGTGGGTGAAATGAGGACCCGGATTGTTGGAGGCAATATGCTGACTCTGTAAACCGCTTAGAGAGGGCTGAAAGCTCTATGAAGCGGTATATAAGTCTAACTGCTATAATTACACTGTCATGCTGAAAAAATGTGAAATTAGGTCTATAGCTTCTCTATAGCTTCTGTCTGAAAGCAGTGCTTTTCGGCTACCTTTCTTGTTCCGAGTTTAAAATTATTTAATTCTTTATTAAAGTAACTGACCTGGATTCAACAGGTCAAGAAAGAAATTGAACAATTTCAAGTAAGATAAAAAAAAATCCATCTATATCATCAAAGTCATGAAAACAATGTATAAACAATTTCAGAGAATTTTCTATATTCGGAGAAATTGAATCATATTGGTCTGACAGGAGCAACTATACCTGAAATCAATCAGAACTGATTGGGAACCTCACCAAGCATGGGGTTAAGAAATAGAAGTGCCAGATAATAGATTCAGTGGGTTCTTTTTCACAAGGGCACAATCTTAGCTCATCAGGAACTTTTATATTTGCCCTTAAAATAGCTGTTAGGAAGGCACTGAAACATGCTAATATCAGCACTCTTTGGAGTTTAGGAATGGTAATGTATTTTAAATATCTTGCCGGTCTAAATGACAATTTGAAATCTATTCATTGGTAAAACTATTAAGTTGTAAAAAGGTGATATAATGGCTCCTAACCATTGGTAAATCCTCTGCAGTTGCCATTGCAACTCTAGCTCTTATATTATGTTTTTCTTCTATAATTAAGGCTAGAAAAAGCCAGAAATATATTTTAGTCATTGGCTTTTGTTTCTGAATCCAACAGGAAGAAGGGTCTTGCTATGGGGAAGAAGAAATTATTTCAGGAAACCCTCCGATGGTATTTGTGGCTGTATATTTTTTTAATCCAATTTAAAGGTATGCAGAAGATATTAGATTGCTTATAAAGATTATGTAAACCAAGGATTACTAGCGCTAGAATATCTTCAGACCCTTTTTAATTTCTCCAGCCTCCAAAAAGGCTTTTTTAAAAGTCAGCTTCAGAATAGTATGGGACCATAATGGAGGAGGGAAATAATTGCACCATTCTAATGGACACAGTTTAGATTTCATAGAGTGACAATGCAAAGCCTCAGGATAATATTTATATGTTTGTATGTGGGTGTGGTGTACACATTAGATTTACAATTCAAATTACACAATCTTATAATTCAGCACTGTTATATATTTGATGCAAAACTTTTTTAAAAAAAAACTGTGTTAAGGAAATTGGAGTTTTTTTGCATTACGGCACATTTGACACAATAGGTCTTTCTGCCAGTGTGTAAAAGTGAGCTGGTACCTGGGATATCACAAGGTGGATACGGATCTTTGTCTTCTTCTTGTTCTTCTCCATATTCATTGATTATAACCTCAAGTAACAGAAAAGTAAACATTTCAAAAAGAAGAAAGTAGCAGAGTAAACTGGTACAGCTTGCTAATTTCAGGCCACTTCGGCATCTGTGTTTCTTTCATTTGGAAATGCCCAAATGTTATAATTTTTTTAATCAAGAATTCTGCCTGAATAAGTAAATGAATGAAATTAATATTAATCCAGAGTGTCTCACAGAATCTATACTATGTGAAATAGATAATCTAATATCTCTATCGTTAACTCAAACAGTTGGTAATTTTTTTCCAAACCAAACCCTTTCACTTAATTATTGTTAAGATATTCTTGTGAACATCTGGCAGATCATTACTTGAAAGCTTGGAGACCACCAAGGACCCTTGTTGCTATAAAGTCAGGATGTAAATGGGAATCAAATCTTCATTGAAATATGCATTAAGAAGAAATTAGGGCCAGCTGTGACATATATCCATTCTACCCTCTAGACTTATCTGAAGGTGATCCAATAAGCATGAGTCAATGCTTATTGTTAGGATTAGATGGGTATCTGTGTATTCCTGAGCGGAAGAGCTTCCCTATAAAGGAGCAGCAGATCTTATGTACCTTAGTATCCTTGGCCTTCTTTGATTCACCCTCTGGTTTGTCCCCCTTTTTAGCATCCAAACTCTCTTTTCTACAAGGACCATAAAAACAAAACCATGGGGAAAATGATAAAAGATCCAGAATCATCGTCAATTAATGATTGTAATAAAACTGGAAAAATAATATTTACAGCAGAAGCAAAATAGAGACAGAATGAAATTTTATCTACAGCCTTGTTTTATTTTGCATTATGTTAAATAATCCTGCATAATTTAGGATAGTTTCACCATTATTATTTCTTAGATGGGTGTGCAGTAAAACATTCAGGGATGTACTAATAACTATTATAGTATATAAAATAATGCCTCTTCCTATTTTACTATGTGTATACAGTTCATGATAACAATCACACCATTAATATGGTGCACCAAACGATATAGAGAGTGAAGGCAAATGCAGACTTTATTGTCATGAATAGAAGATTACATTTTCTCCTTTATTTATATCCCACCTTCATTATTTTTATAAACAACTCAAGGTGGCAAACGTATCTTATATTAATCATCATCTTTTAATGACCCCATAATCCCTTGGAAGGTGGAGTCTGGGCAACTGAATAGATCTGATGATTACTGGCCGGACACCCTTCTTGTCGCCAATGCAGAGTTATATTCAGCAGATATAGTCTCACCGTGTCCATCATCTCTGAACACATAATTGCAGCAACATTATTTGTAGTTTGTGCCTCGTTTTTTACAACCATTCAAACCCTGGAGATTTGCACATATGGATGAATTTTGTTAGAAATTCTTTCAAAGAATGGAGCAAGACATTTTCTATGCCTATATTTTTTCTAAATAATATAATAATAAATTCCTTGGATATACAGTGTACTTTGCACCAGTTTTCTATCCTACTTATACTTATCCAAATTTTCTCTTTCAAAAGAGAAAAGAAAAGAGTGAAAAGAGAAAATGAAGAAAACTACAAAAATGGGCATAATTTTTGTGTGATTTTCTTTGTACCTGGCACTCTTTTTTCTCTCCTTTTCTTCAGCTTCTTCTTTCTGAGCTGTGTTCAGACTTTCAGCATCTGCCAGGTTATCAACCGCAATAGCCAAAAAGACATTTAACAGGATATCTAATTGAAATCATTTTAAGGATACTAAACAATCAATGCAAGTTCTCCTCTTAGTTGGTTATTCAACAGTAACTATCCAATTGTGACAGCTATTTTACAATTTGACTTGGAAGTTCCTTGCACACACCAGAATAAAAGGACATTTCCATTTTATTTTTATTTATTTTTTAAATATAAGTATGAATATAAAACTACAAAATTCATAAAACAGTTGTTGATTTTCATGACAATTTGTTGTTCTGATGCACTCCCCCCCCCCCCCAGTAGCTTTTCTTCCCTGACATGGAAACAGCCCCTCAAATTCACAAAATACCCAAATCACGGTGCCTTTTGTTCTTTAACCTTTTCATCTTCTACTTTGAATGTCGTCATCAACTGCATCCAAATACCCGTTTCTTGCATTTCCTGTACTTAATCTATTTACTCTACCTTCATAGATTTGTTTTAATTTGTATTACTGCTGTTAACATTATTTTAAGTTGTAAATTTATTAATTTCTTGAACAAATGATAGTAATTTACTGCAGAGGCTTATCTATCTGATTGCTTGCCAACATATGGCTCAGTGAACTAATTGCAATAATACTAGAACATGGCTTTACCTAGAAAAGAATATAAAGCGCACAGTTTTAACTGCACTGGCAGAAGAATAAAGGAGAACCGCTCTAATAACTGAGTGATTTACAGGGAAACAATCAACAACTTATTCCTCTATTGTTGCAAGCCCAGTATAGGTGGAACTATTGATTTCCACTTCCACTCAGTTGCATGCCACTGAAATGAGTACTATTACTGTGTGCAAAGCAACACTGTGGGGAACATCCAATACTTTAGGAACCAAAGGAAAAAAACAGTGATTTTTTCTCTCATTTCTGATAAACTCAAAATCCAAAGCATATGTGATGATCTCAGCTGGTGGTGAGTGACTTTTCCTCCATTAAGAAAAATGTGAGTATAAGGATTCCTTTCCTTTCTGTCCACTGGCCAATGAGGGAGAGTTTTAGATTTCTCCGTTTCTCTCTCAATAACATATTGCACTTACTTAAGCCTCAGTTATGGCCACTATATAGCCAAAACAGCAATATTCATTTGCATTTTTCACGTTGAAAGTGGGGGGTGGGGACTATAAAATGTGAAAAGTAGAAGGAGCCCAATCAGGTTAAGCATGCTCAGGAACTATAGGCTATAGCATGTTTCTTGTTCCTAAATCTACAATTCATAAGAAGAGAAATACAATACTGTGTATTGTAAGAGAAAAAGTGTTGTTGAGCCATTTGGATTTTAGCACACTGGGCCTTTTTTAAAAAAAAAGTCCATGCTCCTTCTTCTAAACCTTTAAGAACGTTAACCACTGCTTAATTATAAATGACTGATAAGAAGACAAGAATGCAGTCTTCTACACATATTAATTGAGGTTAGGATTAATGAGATTTACCTGAAATTAGAACACGGAAGATAGATAGATGATAGATAGATAGACAGACAGACAGACAGACAGACAGACAGACAGACATTCCCTTTCAATGTCCCTTCTATGATTTGGGAGGATGGATGCTGTTTTTAAAATGAAAGGATACAGTTACCACAGATGAAGAGGATGATGAAGTAAATACAGACTACCATTCCCGATGAAGATGGGCCTCCATATGCCATAATGCCATCATACATAACAGCATTCCAGTCTTCACCTGTTAGAATCTAAAAAATGAATTACTGAATTAGTACATATCATTTTTTAAAAAATTAATAGCTCCTTTCACATCAGAGGAAAACAAATCAGCAAAACTATTATATAATTACATTTAAATGATTTTATAAGATTGAGGACACCCTTTATTTCTGAATGCATTATTTCATTCGTCTGCAAACTAAGGCATACTTTTGCTTGAATACCATTAAATACCCTAGAATACTCCAAGAAAAAATAACTTTGTTAACAGAGATAAATATTTCAAATGGTTTATCTCAGATTAATATTGATAGCAGCAGATGAACATTCCATTGAGTTTATGGGGAGAAATAAATGTTAAATTGGAGTTAGACAGTGTAACCCCCAGATGCTAAATATTCTTACATATATATTTTTGCTATGTATTGCAAACTCTCATGTGATCATTTTAATTTTCCACCATTGGTCTTTAATTTTGACTTCTTATTCTTTGTGGATTTGTGATTATCTTAAAAACCACAATGAAATATTACAAAATTATGTTGATATCCAGACTGGGATTTGGTCCTATTTGCTTATAGATTGATTAGGTGTTGTTTTTAATTAAACATTGCAAAATATACCATGTGTGATGTTGGAAGGAAATGTATATATATTCACTTGCTTGTACAAATGGGACACATCAACCTAACATTTCTGACATTTATTTAATGCAGTCTTTTCCAAGTCTGCTGCCCTTCAGACATGGAAAGCTTCAATTCATATAATTCCTAATCTACATTTTGAAATAGCAAAGTAGATAATTATAGAAATTGATCCAAAATAAATCCAACCTAAAATAGAAAACCAACGTAACCAATCTTAAGCCTTTAAAACTCCCTACATAAATTATCTCAGCAGTTTTTACAGCGTCTGGAAGTTGGGTTTATTTTACTAATAATTGTTCCATAACACTAAAGCTATTAAGCCAGGATATTCCACAGGACCTGGCTACAGCCAGAACCTCAAGAAAAATTCCCAAATTACCTTTCCTCATTTTTAAAAAAAGTTATTTGTGAGATTTTGAAATCTTGAAATATTTTATCATTGTCTTTGGGTAAGATCACTCATGATCACTCAAAGCCAACCTGGGCTAAGAGACATAGTGTGATGGATTAAGTGAATGAGGACCATGAAAACCTATGTGCAACTACATTATTTATTATAAGCTTACAAGATCCTTTTGGGTCAGTCCCAGTCTCAGTGTACCCTCCCCATAGAGTTACTGGGGTAAAAATGATGGCGGGAATGCTATGTGTGTTGCATGGAAGAAAGCAGACTTATAAAAGGGAGACTTTGAATAGTTCTGGCTGGTATGCCAATTGTGATGTAACCTTGACCAGGATGCTTTGGCAACATTTACACCCTCATCACCATCTGATTAGATTAATGTAATGTGCTCTGCACGATCTGCTTTTGGAGGCGACCTGGAAACTGAAAACTAATATAAATGCTGAAGCAGGATTGCTGAGGAGGCTATACTGCAGTCCTGTATAGAATAGTACCCATTTTGAAGTCAGTGCATCGGTTACCCTTAGGTTTCTGTGACCATTTCAAATGTTGGTCATTCCTTTAACGACTTGAGGTTTGAGGTTTGAGGTTTG